CTCTCTCTCTCTCTCTCTCTCTCTCTCTCTCTCTCTCTCTCTCTCTCTCTCTCTCTCTCTCTCTCTCTCTCTCTCTCTCTCTCTCTCTTTTTTCCAGATATTGCCAATGTTCCGACCTATGAAAGATGAAGTCTTGCGCTGGTGCAGGGCCGCAACAGAGACCGTCCCTACCTTCTTACCCCCAAAAAAACGTATGCACGTTGTCTTCGAAAATCGGACTTTTAGAAATTGCTCTTTTTCTTCCTAATAGAACATACGGTCGAATACAACGTACATATGTTGTATTTGAATACGACATACGCACGTTGTATTTGAGTCTGTGGTATTTGAGACATTTTTCACTATTTAAAAAAAAACTTTCATAAAAATCCAAAAAATATATATGTCGAAGAACAATGCAATACGAACATCTTTTGCCTGAGAGTATTGTTGAAATTTGCTGCCAAATTTGAGGGGGGGGTTGGGGGGGGGGGGGGGGGGGAACAGAGTAGAACGTTCGGGTCTTTGTTTTTTTTGTTTTTTTTCCCCCCACCAAAAAGCATATATTTCCACTTGAAGAGACGAGGCCGGGTGCTCTCATACATTCCAGGGCCGCCCTCTCATAACCCAAAATTCAAATACAACATACATACATTGTATTCAAATTCAATGTACCATTGTACCCCGTAAAGGGCCGCCCTGGAATAGTTTGTACCTCAAAATTCATTGCACAACGTACGTACGTGTATTCGTATACAACATACGTACATTTTTTTTGGGGTAAGAAGGTAGGCTGCGATGAAGACTGAGCTATGCGGCCAAGGTAAGTATCTTTAATGCTGGGCTGCTTCTGAAAAACTCTCTCTCGCTGGTCTACCTCCTGATCCACTAACACAACTCTCACCTCTCTTGAATAGCACTGGGCATGAAGAACTACCGCTCGCCGGTCTACCTCCTGATCCACTAATGCAACTCTTTCCCCTCACTAATAGCGCTGCTGTCCTGCATTGTGTCACTTCAAGTGCTCTTTAACTCTGCATGTTTAGAATGAGGCTTGATTGGAGGTCCAGGATGCCGGCCAAAAGTCTGGACCAGTTTGCTGGACCAGAAAGGCCTGCACAGATCCCCGGTGGGTGTCCAGGCTGCCCTGTGACAAGGGCTGGAGGACAAGTTTGATCCAGCCCAGTTCAGGCCAGAAGTCGGCAGGACCTGAAATCGGCCCTGCTGGTCCGGACAG